TCGTTAATAACCGGAGAATTGATCCATTTAAACAAATTTATTCAATGAACTTCTCTAGAAGTGTACAGGCTGTGTTTGAAAATCAAAGTTGTTAAATAAAAAAAATATAAATAAAAAAAATATATGATAATCGAAGATGGAACCAGCCTGTACATCTGTCTAGTATGATTTTGAGAAATATCAGTAGAAATTTGATTATTGTACATGATTACTATCGAGATCATTGAATTGATTCTTTGGTGGCGGTCGTATCAATATCAGCGATATTTCTTCCAAGCAATTGCGATCGTTAAATTGGTTATGGGTAATGCTTATTTACTATGCGGACCTGACTGGAACTTTCCAATGCAAATGTGATGTGTACATACGCTCAAGTGTATCCTCACATTTCGCACTTCTCATTAGCAGACCGATCTCTTTCGCGCCATATTCAATATTTTTTTCATCGACAATACCTATTTACCTCGAACCTAACATCGAAACACTGTACATTATTTATGCTCCATATTCTTTTGTATTATACACGTTATTATAATTTCGAAAAATGATTGATTTTTCCAAAATCTATCCTTCCTTAATGTAGGGGAAAAAGAAATAGGAAGAAACGAATCTCAGTCACAGCGATTCGAGCAAGGAAAGAAGAAGCTGTAAATGCATGCTTTGTACGATACGCTTGTACATATATGTACTTTTGGACTTCTTGCTGTAAATATGCATGGAGAAATTCGGACAACTGGTCGGCATTCTACGATCCGACGACTGCATGCATATGACAATCGACTTTATTACTTATTGCAGGAACGAACGCGACGTTTCTCGGCCCCTTAGCCACAGATCCATTCAATCGGCAATCGATTGATGATAACAAAAGACCGAATAACAAGTCGAATTCGGCCGAATCCAGCCAGCAACCGGATCCTGGAATTTCCTCCTTACGGGAAGATTCGAAAGACGTTCACACGCACACAGACACCATTACTCATGGACTATTTCACTATCCCATGGATCCTGGACATCCAACCGTACCGTACAACGGACCGTATAATCCCGACTATAAGCCTACACACCCTACCGTAGAAAATGTGTTCCATTTATCTCCTCACACCGAGAAACCTCCAACGCTTGGCGAACGTCTCAAAGAAAAAACCATCAAATCGAAGATAGACGCTAAGAAACCTGTCGAGCCAGTTGGGAAACCGCATAAAGATGACTATTTTCCTGGCTTGCTGACTTCTGATAAGTTCTTGGATAAGAATGGCCCGCTACTTACAAACGCGAACGAGAATCATCAATTTATCCCAGGCCCCGTCAATCCCAACAAATTGCCACCTGTGCAGAAAGTTGGCCACGCGACTGATCAACCGCAATTCGTCCCATTGAATCCACATCGAGAGATGCTCGGTCCAGGATTCGCGATCGCGAACGCCAACAATGAACAAAACGTTCCTCAAGCTGATCTCAACGCGCAACTCGACAATTCCGCGATCGGTTCGCCTTATAGAGGACATAATGGTCCTGATAATCTCGATCCGAACGTGATTGTTCCCATAAATTCAAAAAAGAAAGCTCCACCGAGCGATGCATTCGATGGTGAGAAAGGTAAAACACCAACAGGATTGCCGAATCGGCCGAAACAGGGCCAACGAAATCCGAATCAAGAGATTCTACCGGAAGAGCTCTATCATCTGATCAATCTTCAGCATCCAGGATTAGTCCAATTGGAACACGCTCCGCCCGAAGGACATCCTGGTTTATACGACATTCATCAACAGATATCGGGACAGAAGAACACGCCAAACAATCAGTTGCAGGGTGGATTCTTCGCTGCAAGTGGCGTGATAAAAAAACCGGCGAAACCGCATATTTATACGCAGAAGAGTGAAAACGGTCAGACGACATATCACATACACACACCAGATATACCGAATTCACCACAGCAAATCGAGGAATTATTAGCTCATATCGGTCAACACGATCCTAATCCTGGACCGTTCCAACATTATCCCGGACAGCCAGCCATATCTCATAACGTGGCGAGTGGCCCGACAGCTACTTTGCCTCTTCACATTGACGCTCACATATCGCATTCAGGACTCACGCACTTGAATCATCCACAGTTTGCAGCACAAACGCCTAACCAGTCAGGTTCGTCCCTGAAATCAGCAAGAAATTCTTTTATTCTTGTCAATAATGGAAATAGTTTGAATCGGATTGTATTTTTTTTTCTATTTTTTTTTTTTTGATTTTTTTTATTTCAATATTACGCGAATAATCTTAAAAAATTATTAAAGAAGAATTCAGCTATATAAATATTCAAAGATCAGTGATCTTTGAATAAATGATGAGAGAGTTTTATAATTAATTTTGTTATAACATTTGATTTGCTCGAATTGTTCAAGCTACTTGAAATCGATGAGCATTGACAAGTATTAAGATTTTGCATTAATCAATTCGAATGATTAATTGTGTGCGTAAAATTTAGGTATGGAACACAATATAGCGATGGGCTTCCCGTTACCTAGTGCCATTCCTGGATTCCCTGTTGCTTCTTCCGCGGACGAGGTTACTGTACAAGTTCTCGAAGCTCTTGATGAGAACACTGTTCGCCTTGTTTTTACAGTGCCACAAGTTCTAGTTGGGCTTCATGGACGAGTCGAACTGCGTTACACCAATGACAAAACGTATTTTATATATTTTTTTTTTTATAATTGTTCATGAAATCTCATATATTACTATTTTGAAAATTTTTTATTTTCTTCTTATAATTTATATTTTGCAATAATTTGTAATTAAACTTTTCCATCTTAAAATATCGCATTAAAGAAACGAAAATTAATTAGTTATTTATATTTTTTCTTATAGAAATTTTGATGTATCCACTTGGAAGTCGCAAGTGTTCGCTCCTCCAAACGATTTAATTGCGACACCGCAGCTCGAGTTTGAATTGGGCGATTTGAAGCCCTCGACCGAATACAAAGTAAAGATCACGGTAAAACTGAAAGATTTAGCCAATAGTCCTACGAGCAAAATTTATAGTGTGAGAACATTGGACAAACGAACTGATGCGACCACTTTGCCACCACAAATACCAATCGACGCTGAACTTCAAATTGCGGAGACGAATACCACATGGATTAACGTAATGTGGAGAAAATTCACAGAGTATGAGTTACAGTTTATCGATGGTGTTCAATTGAGATACAAGGAGCACGACAACAAAGTTTATACCGCTTCACCATTGATTCATAGAGCAGTTAGAAATTATTTAATCGAAAATTTGCAATCATCGACTACCTATGAGATTGGAATCTTCTTTGTTCCATTTCCTGGACAGTTGACAGAATTGATTAGTGAAAAAATGGTAAGTTTCAAACTACTACTAATGATAAAAAATATATCTGATAATATATCTTTTATTTTTATAATTAAATCTGTACTTCTCTAAGATTCAAGCAACTACTTTGATGGAACCAGATCCATATTCGTTCGATGTCAAAGTGGAAATTAAGACGATTAAATCGACTGACGTGGAAGTGACTTGGACTGGTGTACCTTATCCAGAGGATAAATATGTGAATATTTATAGAGCAATTTATCAAAGTGATAGTGGCAAAGAAGATACAAGTACATTTAAAATCGCCAAAAGGGATTCTCACCCGAAAACCATAATCACTGATCTTAAACCAGGTACTAGGTATCGTTTATGGCTCGAAATTTATTTGACTAATGGAAGAATAAAAAAAAGCAACGTACAAGATTTCGTTACCAAGCCTGGTGTTCTTTTGCCAGCTACGGTGTCGCAACAAGGTACGAAGATAAAAAAACCAAATGAAACTCTAATAAATGACGAATAAATATACTTAATTGATTTTTAATCAGTTTAAATATTTTATTTTCTTAACAGGAAAACTTGCTTCCTTGCCTTTTCACGAAGGTGATTATTACGGACCTTTGGTTGTAGTGGCCATCGTTGCATCTCTTGCTATTCTGTCAACCTTAATTCTTCTAATGATGCTCATGAAAAGACGTACTAGCAGTAAGGCTGATATATCTTCCCGTAAAAGTACATCAGCATACGACAATCCCTCCTACAAGGTAGAATTACAACAAGAGACTATGGGTAATTCATTCTCATTGTTTTAATGCGATAACCTATTACATGGCCATTATTTCTCTCATTCGTGTCATTCGTTATATTGATATATTATACATTTTATAAATGTACAATTGTCGAATAAATGTATAATTTAAAAACATATTGCGATTTTTCAGACTTGTGAAGATACTATTACGATATCAAATGGTAGAAGTAAAAGCACCGATCACGAAATGGCTACTATCAATAGCAACCTAAAAGAACCTGTTTAAAGTTTTGTAATTTATTATATTACTATATTTATTTATATATTTTTGTTCGATTTTTCGATTTACATATTGTTATCAGGAGATTCTTGATTGAAATTCTTGATCAAATGAAACTTGAAGCATAACGAATTAACGAAATGTATATTTATGATGTATACTTTATATATGCATATTTTGATATTCTACAATATTAAATTTAAAGTTTCTTTAATTCAATAATCGATTAATGGAATTGCATTACGTTGTATTAAAAATTGTAAATAGCAATGTTAAGTAATAGTATATATCATACTAAATAATAAGATAGTAATTTAAAAATTATAAATATCATTTAGATATATATGAAAGCAAGTTTATTGTAATCTTACAGTATATATTATTAACAATTGCTTTCTATGTATTTAATGTTAAAATTTAAGTCATAATACATATTATATATAATTTTGTTGAGTCTCAACGACCGAATCATGTTTTGTACAGTTTATATTGTTAAAAATATTATATATATATATATATATAATAAATATATATATATATATATATATATATATATATATTTATATAAAACAAATAAGTTCTAATATAGAAATGTTAAAATATAAAATAAATAAAACTGTTTGTAAATTATGAACAGAAATATTTATTTCTTATATAATCATATATTTTGTATATAATCTTTTAACTTTCAATCAAAATTTCATTATATAGAAAATAATTTTAAATTCTTAATTTTAAATTCTGTTCATATAAAGTAAAGAAGACATAACAGCAAAGATATTAAAAATTCATTCTTATAACAATCTTAAAAATAATCTAACAATTAATATATAATAAGAGTATTACAGGTGATTAAAACTGAATCAAGCAAATAAAATATTGTAAACGCAATTAAAAATATTTCTTCAACTCAGATTCCATTTGCAAAGGATCAATAGTTGGTGCAAATCGAGAAACAACTTTTCCTTCTTTGTTAATAATAAATTTACTAAAATTCCATTTAATATCATCAGTTATGAATCCATTTGCTTGTGTCTTTAACCATTTCCATAATGGATGTGCATTATCTCCATTAACATTAATTTTTTCAAATAAGTCAAAAGTAACATTATATTTTTTGACAAACTCTAAAATTTCTGCAGAGGTTCCTGGTTCTTGACCGCCAAACTCATTTGATGGAAATGCCAAAATTCTTAAACCTTCTTTTCCATTATATTTTTCATATAATTGTACAAGTTCTCTGTAATTTGTATCTGTAAGTCCACAATTACTAGCAACATTAACAATTATACAAACGTGTCCATGATATTTATTCAATGACACGTCATTCCCATGAATATCTTTAGCATGAAAATCATAAATGGTAGAAGCTGATTTCCAATTTTTGTCTTGATCTAAAGGTGCTAAAGCACATTCTTCTTTTTTATTATTATCTTCACAATTTTCAGCTATGACTCCACAAAAGAAGAGAACTGTTAAAAATATCAATTCTATAAAAGAAAAAATTATAAATTATAACTTATTAAATATTCATGTATTTATTAAATGATGTATACTTTACTATTAAAATATTTCTTTGTAATATTATGATTAATATTTGAAAAAATTAAAGTCAAAATTGATTTAAAAAATAAAAAAAGAAAGAAAAAAGAGACAAAAGAAAAGCATAAAAAAGAATTAACAAAAAAGTTTTTATATTGTTAGCTATCACCAAACAATGCTAATACTATTATAAATTAAATATTTATTATTTAATTGCACATCATAAAATTATGACTAAAAGATTAATTTTCAATATTATTTGTAGTTAAAATATTTATTAAATGTTTATTAAAATATTATTAAAACTACTTACTCTGCATTTTGAATGAATATTATTATCCTGAAATTTTAATCAATAATATTTTTATTAATTTTTTATTGTATTATATATTTATTATAATATTTATTAATATTTATTATATTATATTATTTAGAAAATATTAAAAAAAAACAAATGAAAATATAATATATTACCTTTTCACTTACGAAGCACAAACGTCTGTACGTTTCAATTCGTCAAACGCAAATACGTTGCTCTTTTCTTTGTCTAGAATTTTTAAGATCGAAACACACTAACCTTTGTCCACTTTTGGCCTTGAATCTATGACATCGAGGATTCTGGAATGCTCACAAAATAAAACAACTAAATTTTATTCTATATTCACATACCACAAAATATATTTACTAAGTATACCATCGGTCGACAATGCATGCGGTTTACTGAATTATAGACGAAATACAAAATAATCGAGCGAATAATGAGAGAAAGAAAAAGATAGGAAAAAAAACATGGGAATCAGCGCCATCTTCAGAGTGTCGTAAATGAAATAAAAAAGAACAAAAAATATGAAAAAGATAGAATTAGGAATTGATAAGAATTGATCGCCAGTATTATCTTTGAAAGGCAGCATATAGTAAAATTAAAAGAATTGAAAATCAGCGTCATCTCTCGAATGCATTTAAAAATACAATTCTTTGAAATTATATATTTAAAATTTAAAAGATGACGCTAATGATCAATTTTTATCTTATTTTTATCATTCTCTTACTATTTTCTGTCTTTTTTTTATGTATTTAATTTGTATTACTCTAGAGATGGCGTTGATTTTCATATTTTTTTTCTATCTCTGTCTTTCTTCTACTATTTGTTTTTATTATATAAATTTTATGTGTTTTTGTATGTTATGATTTAAATATACATATACATACGCACACACACACACACACACACACACACACACACACACACATATATATATAAATTACTTATGTCATTCAGTATTAGAATTTTATTATTCATTTTTGTTGATTCTTATGGACACTACAGAACTTTACATACACGTGATGTTCTCATCATATATAACAACATAACCTTTATAATACAACAAAATCATAACCTATAAATTATGTTATTTATTTATCATAGATTACAAAATAATATAAGATTTTATATTTACAATATATAATAAAACATTTAAATAATAATATTATTTGAAATTGCAAATATTTCATAAATTGTATATATGTGAATATTAAAAAGACAGTGAATATTGTTACATTTTACTGAATATTGTTATTTAGTATTAAATAATTTGTAAAAAAAATGGTAAGTTTTATATATATAAAATTAATTATATTTTTTTATTATATTTATTTGTCTTTTTTAGGCACGAAATGCAGAAAAAGCTATGTAAGTATGTTTTTATTGAAAAAAAAAAATATTTTTTTCAATAAAATTTTTATAAAATACATTTTTTTTTTACATATTTATTTAAATATACATCTTTTAACAGGACCACTCTTGCTCGATGGAGAGCTGCACAAAGCAATGAAGGAGCTAGGAAAGAACAAGAAAGAAGACCATATTTAGCATCTGAATGCAGAGATTTGCGAAAAGCAGAAAAATGGAGAATGCAAATAATTAGAGAAATTGCAAAAAAAGTTGCACAAATACAAAATGCAGGTTTAGGAGAATTTCGTATTCGAGATTTAAATGATGAAATCAATAAATTATTACGAGAAAAACGACATTGGGAAGCTCAAATCAAGGAATTAGGTGGGCCTGATTATTCTAGAGTAGGACCACGTATGTTAGATCATGAAGGTCGTGAGGTATAATATATTTCTATTTTAATATATTGAATTTATCTTTGATAAAAACTAACTAATTATAACATTTAGGTACCTGGAAACCGTGGTTACAAATATTTTGGAGCAGCAAAAGAATTACCAGGTGTCAGAGAATTATTTGAGCAAGAACCACCACCTCCGCCCCGTAAAACACGCGCCGAATTAATGAAAGATATTGATGCCGATTATTACGGTTACAGAGATGATGATGATGGAATTTTATTACCTTTAGAACAAAAAGCTGAACAGGAAGCACGAGAAAAAGCAGTACAAGAATGGCTAGCACAAAATAAAAAAGAATCAGAGATCGAAGAAGAAATCGAAACAACTGCTCAAAAAGCAATACCATCGCAACAAGATATTCAGGAAGCATTACTTGCAAGAAAAAAACAAGAACTATTAGAGAAATATGTACTTTGATAGGTTTTATTCTTAGTTTTTAATGTATTCATATTTTCATGTAACAATTATTTATAAGTTTATTTGTTTAATTGTATTAGAGTACATTTTTATAAAACGCGACAGATATAATAATAATTATTATTAATTTATAAGTAATAACATTGATTAAGGTAATTATTTTGTGCAGTAGACGTTCAAACTTCAATTAATACTTATCGAGATAGAGTGCTGTAGATAAAATATAGATAAAAATTCAACATTAGTCTGTTTATAATCCTCGCGATTCTTGAATTTTTTATTTTTATTATTTTTTTTTATTTTTTTTATTTATTTTATTTTTTTTTTTATTGACATTATAAGCACCGAACACTCGAGAAAGCGACACAATAGAATAAAACACCAGACAACAAGATTGTAATATCACGAGTATCTTTTCATTCCATACATTCATGCTCATAGAACATTAATAATTAGATAAATAAAATTGAACTTCATACACTCTTTTTGTCTAATCGATATTTTAAATATCTTTAATCAAGCATTCTGCATTTCATCATCATTGAATCATCTCGCAAAAGCCAGTCATTTGTTTTAAAATAGTTCGATGCAATTACAACTATATCGTAACAAATCGGGAACAATCAAAGGCATAGAAATCACCCTGAAAAAGCCTTACTCATTAATTATCATCATAAATATTTCGAAAACATTCTGTTTTTATCGTTACATTTGTTTCATCCGTGACGAGAAACCGAATATGCTCTTTCTATTTTTCTCAAATTTCTCATCTTCAACATCGTGTTGTTTATAAACAGACTGTACAATATACGATTTATTTTACCAGGACTCAGAAGTGAAAAAGTATCCTAATAATAGCTAGCTAAAATTTCAGTACGCTTAAAACTTTATTCAAAGTAGAAACTTGAATAATTCAATCGCACTTTATTATATATTCTTTTCTTCCATTATTTTTTTCTTGCTTTCTAAAAAGATTAAAAGTTAGACAATATCAATAAACACTCATTACTACAATATTATCGATTATTGATGATTATGCTAAATTTGAAAGCCTTAAAAGTATTTTTTCAAGGAAAGCATTGTAAAAAGAACTTTTGCACGTTTTATAGAGAAAATTCATAATTATTTACTTATATTTGTATCAAAAAAACTTCTGAGTCCTTGCAATCGCGTTATACATTATCTAAATACGTAAACGAGAGAATAGTTCGAGCATGGATTAATCATTGGTAATCACCTAAATATTATATAAAGCTTGAAAAAGTCAAGCATTAAACTATTCATAGTATCTGATATTTTTTATTCATTAATCAGTCGCCCGTTTCATCAGTAACCAATTCCCACTAATACAAATACGTGAAAAAAACATTTCTACGTAATCTATCGTACTCACAATAATGTATATTACTAATTTATTAGTAATATTAATTCTACGATCACATCTGAATTTATAAGGTGTTTTATGAGTTTATTGTGCGTCGTTGAATTGTGAATATGTCTTCGTAATACGTTCTTTTTATTCCATCGATTAACTATCCTTCGATCCTATTAATTGATTAACCGATATCTTGCATATACGAAATATTCATAATGTAGCGCTTATATATAACTATAAATATACATATAACTGTTAGTACATATATTGATTGATTGATATCAAATAACTTGGAAAATTATTGTTGTATGTAACTTTCTTTTAGTATTATCCAATATTAAATAAATATATACATGTACGAAGAATATTAGATAGAAAAAAAATAAATAGACATAAATATATAAGAAATTAATATAATCTATTTATTTATTTAGGAATTGTTTTCTATTTCACACAAAGAATAATAGTTTCTATTTCACACAAAGAGTAATAATCGAAAATCAAACAAATGCAACAAGGTATTAATTCTTTTTGCATATCAATCCATTCTCGAACCATGTGATCAAAACGCCAAGATTCGTAGTATCGAATGTATCGAACAAATAAGCACTGTAAATCGAATATTCCGTTGAAAATATCGCGGAGTCGAGAGAGGAAAAGTTACGTTAGTTTAATTTAACTCGTCCAAAGGAGAACGACTAGAGGATCGCGGTTCATAATGGGCTCTCGACTTGGCTGGGTATCCCACGACGATTCTCCGTCGATGGACACGCGGCCTAAAAAGGGTGAAAGGCACAAAGTAAAAAATAAACGATTAAGGTTGGCTCAGGCACATATCGAATCGAAGTCAGTTTTGCGGTCCATCTGGTAATATATACATTCGACTTTTGGGACCGATGAAATGTATGTTTGCATATTTGTATGCGCGTGTAATTGAAATGTATTGTGCGTATATGTAAGTAAATATGTGTAAGAGTATGAATAGTATACGCGTCGCGTTCTTTCTCTGTTTGTATATGTAATATACATACGTAATATGTATGTTGGAAACACCCTCAACTCCGTCCAGCGTATCAAAAAGGAATGTACTTGGTACATCGATAGAGTTTTGAACTCAGAGTTACCACATGCTAAATTATGACAGCTCTGATTCACAGGATCAACAGATCAATATATTGACTTCTTTGTTCTGTTCGGGCAGTACAAACGGCATCCAATAGAGCGCAGCCGCATTCATCTTGAAAAATTCAGTTGCTTTGCTACACGATCAGTCATGTATCACGGTGTACAAGAGTAACCGTAATCTGTACTGTGTTCCATTGATCAAACCATATCGTTATCGTTAACATGGAATGTTGTTTTGTAATAAAAATTCTTTCGTGATCGTATATTTCAAGGACGTAGCAACGAATGCCAACGTTGAACTTGCGTCGGTTGCCTTGCTGCACGCATATCATTCCAATGTTGAAGCTCCTCCGAACCGGAACTGTTTAATCCCAAACTGAGCCAACCAATCATTTCTCTTCCTTTTCTTCCCATTCCACCTCTTCGTCGATTATAAACCGATAAAAAGAGTGTTACATCTCCAAGTTGGAATAGTGCAACCTAAACAAAATATTAGATTAAATTATAATTGGATTAAATTAATTTATAGAAAAGAAAAAAATATGCTTAAATTTTTTTATTTAATTATTCAATATAGCAATAATTAGCAAAACATACTTGAAATATAAATGTTTCTTTATAAAGAGGATTCGGCTGAGCACGTTTCAAACCAGTTTTTGATCGTTCCATTTCATGACCATTACTATCCACAAGAGCAAGCTTAACATATGTATCAGGTGGTTTCGTGTCATTCCCACCACCACCACGAAAATGAGATCCTTTGATTATCTCTACCGATAAACGTCCAGTCGTTCCATTATAAGCCAAACCTATTAAAATCTCCGCTACACTTCCACCCTTCATACTACTCCCATAAGGAGGTATAGTATGCGATGCATAAGTTGGCACACGTGCAGTAGGTGATGCATATGATTGAACTGATTGTTGTGATCCTGTCGAATCGCTGCGAGTCAAACTACTAGTTGTTCCCCAATCTTGTACCTTAAAGATTACATTTATTTTATTAATATATTATTTTGTTTAGAATTTATGAATAAATAAAATACATATAACTAATATGTATAAATAATATAAATATGACAATTATATAAATATTTTACCGAAGAAAAAGGTGGAGGTTGTAGCGTTAACCAAAGTGTAGTTTCAAGCTGAAGATTAATTTGATCGAAAGAGACTCTTGCTTCGCCTAACAATCTTTCTCTACGCATTCTTCCGCCCCATAAATATACTCTTAAGCGTACACCCATGGCATTTACATCCTCCGGATTTACTCGTGGAAGTAAAAAACTCTCCATGTATTGTGGAGATGTACCCTGACGCACCCGAGTTTTGCGTCGTTGTTTCTTCGATGGTAATAATACTAGTCGAACTTGACTGCCGCCTATACCTTCAGGATAATTTCGGCCTTGCAATACATGAACCTATGAAAATACAAATTTATCAGCTATCAAATTATGAATGAATTTTATAAATGAAATTAACTAATACAAACTGTCATCTCGCGCATCGGTGCATCATATAGAAAAGCGACTTCCAAGCTACCCACTTCTTCGGTGATAGTACCCATTGTTGTAATAACATCGTTAGTAGTTGAACCATTTTGCTCCACTTCTACTTCTTGTTCTCTACTGTCAAGACCGGAAGCTCCCACTTCTACCACGCACTGTGTGTCAAACAAAATTATTGCTTCATAGAAATCAATAATAAACAATAAATAAATTATTACAAATAATAAACATTAAATAAATTAAAAAATTTATTAAATTTTTTTATTATATTTTTTCTTTCTTATTTAAAAATTATTTATTTGGAAAATATATTAATAATAAATTTTAGGCATTGAACTAATATAAACAAATAAATCATCAAAAAATGATAAGATTTTATGTGGTTAAAATATTGCGTGATAAGATATCTGGAAGGATATCCGGGAAATTCCGATTAATTATTTGTATGGCAACTAGGCAGATCAAAAAAATGAAATTCGAACGCACATAATTAAAACATGTCTTTTTTCACTCACTTGTTGTTGATCATTGGACGAGTGTTCTTCTGTGCAACTGCTAGAAGTGGTGCCAGCATCTAAAACATTGATATATAGTCAATTAGGAATGAACAAAATAAATAAAAGAGAAAAAATAGAAAAAAATGGAAACTAACCCAGGATAGTCGGTCCATCCTCTGCTTGGATAGTTAAAGTATCCGGCGGTGGATGAGAATGAGAATTCAATCGGCGGACATCTTCTTCCGAATCGGAACTAGTCTCTGGATCCGAATAGGAAAATGCCTTTCCTATTCATTTTCAAATCGAATATTAAACCCAATGTTCACTTTAATTTCAGGTACAAAGTAGCTGATAACGATCTATTTGAAAGGACTGGGATCATTGCGTCTATTCTGATTGTTATATTTTCCAAAAAATTTTAACATTAAAAGCATAGGATCAATCATGCATTAACCTACCTATGTTCTTTGTAATTTGAGAAGTCGAGCCATTATTAGATTCGCAAAGAGGCACGCAAACGCCGCCGAAAAGTGTAGTCGTGGACGGCGGAGTAAAGCACCATTTGCGTGATAGGTACAGGAAAAGAGCCAACAGAAGAACCACAAAACCAGCAACAGCACCCAAAAATGCTGTCGCTTCTACCGGTACTGTAAATTGATCGATTTGTGAGAAAAATTAGTTGATATAAATTATTGGTTGTGTAAATTATTTATCGTCCGACAAATCGATCGATCATAAAAATCATGAAAATAAATTAAAAAAACGAGAAGTGAAAAAAAAAACAAACATAAAGAAGAATGCATTGAAAGAAGAATGATGATATGGACCGGAAGGAAGATTTCATAGATGTAAAAAACATGATTAAAAAGAGCACGTTCAAAGCAAAAGTTATTTATTGACTACGGAGAAAGGCGTTCACCCATACACCGATTAAATCTTTCTCCCGACCGGCGGTTGTACGTGTAGTCGATGTATCGAACGCGTTATAACAGCAGCGACACATTACGTCGTAATGACCTGGAATAATTAACTATCGCTTCACTTATCATGCAACCACTGCTCTATATTAAATAGTGAATATGATTCGCGATATCGAGATCTTACAAAATTTATTGATTCTAGTAATTTTTGTCGAAAATATCAGAACTCGTCATTAAAAGGAATGAATATTAAAAAATTATATATATTTATGCTATTTATTAATAACTTATATAGATTTGTTAAAAAATTGTTTTCCAAATTATCATTTTCGATTTCCATATACTATTAAAATTATCATTTGATTTTCTTTCATGAAAAAAAAGCAAATAAATAATAATAAAATATTATTCAAGACAGTGAATTTTGAAATAATCTTAATTTGCGCAATGCGGAAGTCGTGGCATACATTCACATTCGAATCATTTTCGATTAATCAAAGCGAACGATATACATATTCTACATATGTGGAACATTTTCTATTGTCAGAATCTAACAGTATATTAAAAGATAGTTGCTATACCATAGTTAAGATTAATTTTTATTAAAAATTAAATGTATTAAAATTTAAATCTATTAGAAACATGCAATATATAATGCATGTATATATTTAACTAAGAAAGACATAACGAAAAGGATATAAAAGGGAACGAACATTTCACTTAATTTGCTAACTCTATCGTGAGTGAATACTACTTATTTAATTTCTTTCTACAATCATCAATATTTTGAGGTTAACATCTCATTATAAAAGTTTACATTTGAACAATTAAATTCGGAAAGAAGTAAATAATAAATAGAAGATAGTGGACTTACCCGCCAGAAAATGGTCTGATCCTGCCAGAATCATGCTTGCCTTTGTATTGCATTAAAGCCTTCTTACGTCGTTTTGTCAACAAGCCACAGTACGTCTTTTACAAATGATGAATTCATTATTTGTATGATTCGAAACTGCTTAAAATTCGTGGTTGATCACGATCAACAAAAAGCGTGGTTATGAGACAGGCAAATAATAATACGTAGGCGGAGATGTACACAGCACTCTGTTGCTTGTCGAGTCGTGCGCCTGCAATACTTCGACCAGTTATACGCATGCGTTTCGCGGGCACACATTCTTATAACGAAAATTTCTTTCAACAGGGATTCTCATTTTGAGATAATTTCTTTAGTATGAAGTTTGTAGTTTTTTTATATTATATATTTAATTATAACATTATCAATACATTTATCAATAATTATTACATTTAACTTATACTATTTTTTAGTTAAAAAAATATATTATGTTCTATTTATTTAAAAAAAAAAATACTATATTGAATTTATATTATTGAATACTATATTGAATAATATATCTTAAATAAAAGAATTTTGAATGAAATAAATTTTTTTTTATTTTACTTCTTTTAATATATATCTCTCATCCTTCAATTATTAAATAAATATTTTTATTATATTTTTATTATATTTTTAATCATATCGTAATCATATCGTAATCATATCAGAATCATATCGTAATATACGATTAAATTCATATAGGCTATTTAAAAAGTAAACTGATTAAGAAATTGATAATTATATACTGATAATTATAAACTGATAATAAATACTGCATCATTTAATAATTAAATTGTAAAATTAATTTAAAAAATTTAAAGCATTATAAAGAAATATAAATTATATCTTATTATATCTTATATAATAAATACTGTCTATAGTTATTATATTTTAATATATGAATTATTTGAGTGTAAATATTAAAAAATAATGATGGTTCTCATCATCAATAATCAATATATTATAAACATATAAGAATTTGTCTATTAAGAAAATAGAAACACTTCACGAAATTATTTTTTTCACCCTTTTGTTATTATGTATTTTAAATAACTGGCACATTGACTTTTTAATAGATATATTATTAATTGAATTAGAATTAATATAAGACTGTAATACAACAATTTATTAATGAAATTAATTTTAGTTAACCAATATGAATATTATTTAACTCGTTCAAGACTAACTTGACTTTGAAATAGAAAAATTATGATTAAATATGATAGGATTAATCACATAATTAATTTTTTTTTAATTTTTTGAAAAACAATAGTTTTAATTTTTCTTCGGTACATATTAAAGTATAACAAATTTAACTTGATAGGTAAGTTTTATATTATTCAATAACATAACCTCGAAAATAAAATTTCTTTTTTATATATTAATTCAATAAATTTTTTACTATAAAATTTATTATAAAATGTTTTAATATATGTATATATGATGTATTTCATTTTATTTCTTTATTAACAATTTTAATTTTAATATTTTTAATTTAATATTAGTTTTATATTAACTTTTAATTTAACAACTTGTTCTTAAATAATTTTATTAGAAATAATATTATATAATATTATTATTATTAAAATATTTATTAATATAATATAAATTTATTCATACTTGTATATTATGTACTTACATTTTTTAATAAAATATAAATAAACATATTGTGATCTTAATATTTATAATATCTTTTTTTCCATTAAATCTATATAATTATCTTAGGAATAAACAATTATGAATCAATTTAGAATATTATGTTTGAAACAATCTACAATCTTAAATAAATATTGGTTGGAAAAATATTTGAAACAATATTTAATTTATCATGCAAAAATATATTCTACTGGAATTACTAATCATCATAAAAATTATATTAAAAAGGAAAATATTAGTAGAAAAAAACATAATGTTTCAAGAACAATGCTTCAAGGTATCAAACAGACTAAACGGAAAGTAGAAATAATTATTGAGAAAGAAAATATTTGGACAGTGCCAAATTTTCTTTGTATGGGTCGAATTTTAACATCACCATACTTAAGTTATTTAATTTTATCACAAGATTATCAGGTAAAATGTGAATATATAAATATGTGAATATATGTTTATTATTTTTGATATTTATGATTTGTTTGTTACAGATAGCATTGTGGTTATTAGTATTTGCAGGATTTAGTGACCTAGCTGATGGATGGATTGCACGTACATGGTCATCACAAGCTTCTAAACTTGGTACTTTTCTAGATCCAGTTGCAGATAAATTACTTGTAGGTACACTATTCCTATCTTTGGCCTGGGTAGGATTGGTTCCTATTCCTTTAACGTGTCTTGTTATTACACGAGATATTGTCTTGATATCTGCCGCTTCATACATAAGATATAAATCTTTACCTTCTCCAGTATGTATATATTACTAAATTATATATAAGTATTTGTATAAGTGATTGTTTATTTATAAAATATATTTCAGAAAACTTTTGCAAGATATTTTAATCCTACATATGCAACAGCACAATTAGCTCCAACATCCATAAGTAAAATCAATACTGCTATTCAATTATCTTTTGTTGCTGGAACATTGGCTGCACCTGTATTTCATTTTGTAAATCATCCAATTTTAATAGCTTCCTGTTACATAACAGCATTAACGACATTAGCAGGAGGTTTAAGTTATTTAATATCAAAAAATACATATAAATTTTTAAGAAAAAAAACTTCATCAAAAACATCTTTTTAAGCATATATGTTAATGATTACAACAATAAATTAATGTATATAAATTTATTATTTACTTTATTTAAATATTTAAGTATTTACTCTATATTTACTACATAAATAAAATTAATAAAAAAAATTATTCCTACTTTATAATTATCTGGTAAAAAAAAATATTATTATTCATTTCTATTTACTTCATACGTTTCATATGCAAAATTTTCAGAAATATTTGTATTATAACAAACTCCAATATAATCAATTTCTAATTTAAAAGGACCTGATATTTTATCAGCAATTGTAATACCAAAATTTGTAACAGTATTATTAACTAAAGGATATTGATTTTCATTAATTTGTCCTTTGTTACAAATCACAAATTTTGAAAAAGGAATTCTAACTATTTGCCAATATGGACCACCTCTTGTATACATAAAATAATGATAAATATAATTATTAACTTCATTAAATTTTAGGTTTTTTTGTAAGATATTTAACATATAAGTTCTACCATCTCCTCTAATTCGTAATACAATTTCATTATACTCAATCCAATCATATTTATCTATTCGATAAAAAGATTTAAATTTTGGAACTGTAGTGATATTGCAGTAACCACTATCTGTTGTTTTGCCATCTTTTACTGGAGTGGTATTTAATATACCGTGAAATATTCCATAACCATGAGATGACAATTCTAATCTAAAAAATAACAAAAAAAGCATTTTTTTAATACTAATTTACTTACATTTTTTCAAAATGTAATAGCATATAAAATATTATGTAGTTACTTAGCACTTGAATAACCATGTCCATAATCACTGTCAGAATTTACAATCCATTGATCCAGCGACTTTTGAGATCCATCAAATTTCCATACAATATCAATTTCATTTACTGTAAATTTATTTGGATATATTGAATATTTCTGCAATGTTTCATGTATAAATAATTTACATTCATCTCTATATGTACAATATACTTTTTCTATTTTTTGAAAAAAACTGAGATTTTTAAAATCATCCTCTACTCTTCTATCGTATACCGGTTGATCTGATTTATACTCTTTATAAAATCTTTTAATGGTTAAAGAATTTTTAAAATATGATTTTAATAAACGAAAAATACTTTTTTCCATATTTTTTTTTCACACGATTAAATTATAAATTATAACTTTTTTTTGACTGATATTATAACTTTATTGATCATGTTACAATGTATTGCATACGAAAAATTCGATCACTGTGATTAGATTACAATATAATTTGTATAAAAATTATAATATAAACATAATTTTAAATTTGATTAAAGATTTTTATATTTTAGTTATATTATATTTTAATATATTATATTTTAGTTTTTTTCATTATTATTCTTTTTAATAGTTACACATATTGAATTTTTTTTTTAATTTTCTTAATTATTTTGACATACTAAAACTACAAAGTGCAATATAAATCAATCTTAAAAATATATATTTAATATAATAATAATATAATTTAATAATACTTATAAATAAGAAAAAATTGATATTCATTAATAAAATAAAATATAATTTAATCTTTATGTATATATTTTTACAATACTTAATAAAAAATTTATAATAGGATTTTTTCTTTGTAAATGATGGCAACTATGAATATGTTGAAATGAAATTAGTACGAAAATGATGCTATTTAGATATTATAGGTTATTAAATAATAGAAATTTCATTTTTTTGCGATTGAAAAATCATAATAAAATTGAAAATACATGTCACATTAAATTTATATCAAGTAATACTGAAGAGAATATAAATATAAAGTTATCTAATGGGTAAGAATATTATTTTTTAACCTAAGTCATAAATATTTATAATAATAAAAATGTATAATGTGAATAAATTGTTATGTATTATTTAATTATTTTTACTTTATATTTATTATTTTTTATTTCAAATATTTCTTTAGGTCGGAAATTAAATTATCAACTGGGAAATATGCACGATTTACAAATGGAAGTGTTCTTGCTACGATTGGCGATACATCAATTATGACAACTGTAGTTAGAAAAAATGTATTATCTAATAATTCTATAATTCCATTAACTGTAAATTATAGGCAAAAAGCGGCTGCAATAGGCCGTATACCAACAAATTTTCTTCGTAGAGAATTAGGTTTTACAGATCATGAAATTCTTATTAGTAGAATAATAGATAGATCGTTACGTCCCCTATTTCAACCAAAATATTCATATGAAACACAGATAGTATGTAATTTATTAGCTATTGATGGAATTAATAATCCAGATATATTATCTATCAATGCTGCATCTGCAGCTTTAAGCATTTCGGATATTCCATGGAATGGACCTGTAGCAGCTGTAAGAATTGGTTTAATTGACAATACATATATAATTAATCCTTCAAAACGTGAACTTCAACAAAGTAAATTAAATCTTATTTTATCATGTATATCAAAAAATTTAATTGTTATGATAGAAGGATCAGCAAATGATATTTTAGAACCAGAACTTCGAAAAGCAATAAAATTAGGTACTAAAGAATGTCAAACAATTATACACTCTATATCAGAATTACAAAAACAAATTGGCAAACCTAAATTGAATATTGTCAGTGATGATGAATCAACCAATGATGTGGAAAAATTTGTAAGAGAATTTGTGTCAGATGAATTACGTGAAATTTTTAATTGTCATTCTCATGATAAAATTTCGCGAGACAATGCTATTTTTAATTTGAGAGATAGAATGTTAGAAAGTATAAAAAATCATGATTCAAAATTTATTGAAAATGCTTTAAAAATTTTTAGCAATATTTCTAAAGAAATTTTCAGATCTTTAATATTTGAAACAGATAAAAGGTATTTTTTTATTAAAAAATATTGTATTTTATTTATTTTTAAATTTAATTGAAACTGAAATTAAAATTAATGAAAAGTTATAAAGACTTAAATAATTTTAGATGTGATGGTCGTGAAATAAATGAATTAAGAGATATAAGTTGTCAGGTTGATTTATTTCAACCTCTTCATGGTTCTGCTTTATTTCAAAGAGGACAAACTCAAGTTTTATGTACAGTAACTCTTGATAGTATAGAAAGTTCTCTTAAATTAGATACTATTTCAATGTTTTCTAGGTAGACTAAGTACTTTATTTATTAATATTCACAAATATAAATTTGGAAATGAATATATAAATAAGTAAATATTATTTTTTTACAATTTGCAGTGGTATAAAAGAGAAAAATTTTTTTCTACATTATGAATTTCCTCCATATGCTGTAAATGAAACAGGTAAAATTATCGGAATGGATCGTAGAGAAATTGGTCATGGAGCATTAGCAGAAAAAGGATTGCAACCAGTTATACCTCAAGATTATCCATTTGCTATAAGATTAACAAGTGAAGTATTAGAATCAAATGGTAAGTAATATAAATATGGAAATAAATCTTATTTGTATACATGTAAATTTAAATATTTTTTCTTATTTTATATAAAGGTTCATCTTCTATGGCTTCTATTTGTGGTGGTAGTTTAGCATTAATGAATGCAGGTGTGCCAATATTATCTCCTGTAGCTGGTGTAGCTATGGGATTAGTCTGCAATAGTACTGATAATGCTGATTTAAAAGAAAACAATTATAAAATTTTAACTGACATATCTGTAATAATTTATTTTATTATTATTGATATATAATTATATATAATTCATAATATAAAAAGATTAATTCTTGATTTCCTATATAATCAGGGTATAGAAGATCATCTTGGAGACATGGATTTCAAAATTGCAGGTACAAAGAAAGGATTTACTGCTTTCCAAGCTGATGTAAAAATACCGGGAATTCCTTTAAAAGTGATAATGAAAACTATTCAAAATGCACATTCAGCAAAAAATCGAATTATTAATATTATGAATGCAGTAATATCTTCTCCAGCAAATGATAAAAAAACGAATAAACCTGTACTTGATACTATAGAAATACCAGTGCATCAAAGAGGAAAATTTCTTGGAATTGGAGGATCAAATATAAAAAAGATATTGCATGAAACTGGAGTTAATGTAAATTCAAAGAAAAAATAGAAATTGATTAATTTAGTGAATTTATAAAAATTACTTAGCATTTATTTTTTTTTTTTTTTGTAGATATATTCGCTAAATGATACAGCATTTTCTATATTTGCGCCTAATCAAAATGCAATGGATGAAGCGAAATATATGATAAATAAAATTTTGGAAACAGAAACGGAACCCACATTGACATTTGGTGACATTTATACAGCAAAAATAACTGAAATTCGTGAAATTGGAGTTATGGTTACATTATATCCGGCTATGATACCAACTTTATTACCTAATTCACAATTAGATCAACGTAAAATTCATCATCCTAGTGTACTTGGATTGAATATTGGAGATGAAATAAAAGTAAAATATTTTGGACGAGATCCGGTAAATGGACGAATTAGATTATCTCGAAAAGTATTGCAAATTCCAATTATGCAACAGAATTTCGATGTTACTAAAGGTTAGCAGAAAAAATCATTATAAATAGTTTTTATATTTTTTTTAAAAGACAAATATAATAATTGTATATTAATAATAATAATTTCATAAAATATAATTAATTATTTTATTAAAATTTTTACTCGTAATATTAATTTTTATTAAATGATTTAAATAATATTTTCTTACGTAATATTAAATATCGTTTATATAATGAAATTATATTAAAATATTTCTAATTCAATTTGACGATTCACGTTTTTTTATTCAGAATAAAGCTTTTTCAAATCTTTATTAAATTTTTTAATCTAAAATAATATACAAATTTAATAATTCAATAATTGATGATTATTATGAATATAACATCAACCAACAGATATGTAGCTCGTTTCAAGTTAGATCGTCTAATTAATATATTCAAATATATCTATTAAAAGTGATTTAAAATCAAAATATTAGAAATGATTTCACGTTTCATTTATCGCTATATTTTTAAACGGACATCTAGTTTTGTTCTTAGTATCGTTATCGCATCTGTATTTTTTGAAAGAGCTTATGATCACGCTTGTGAAAATATTTTTGAATGGATAAACAAAGGAGTATGCTATTAATCTTTTAATTATATCGTATTCGAAACTATTTTTTTTTTAAATGAAATTTGAAATTAAATATATACTAAAGTAATATGTTTGTTTGTTTAAAAAGAGTTTACGTTAAAGTTATTTTTAAATAAATAAATTTTACAATATGATAATATAATTTGCATTATAATTTATTTATTTTTTCAAATATTTGTTGTAATTCCTGTATAAATTTTAAATTATAAATTTTTAATTATCAAATATTTATTATCTTTTCTACAGAGACTTTGGACGCACATAAAACATAAATACGAAAATCCATCACAGGTGATTAATCAACATGATATTAAAAAAAATACATCTAATTTGGAAAAGACGTCCAATAAAAATGCAAAAAAGGACTGAATTTTTTTGTAAAATAAAAAATCTATTGTTAAATAAAATGTAAGAAAGTTTTTTCAAAATGTTTTTTTCATTCATGATAATATGTTTGAGTTCTTAAATTTCACTTTTATCGTGATATTTAATATTTTCGTATTATGACTTTTGTATCGTCGTTATTAAAGAAATATAAGCACTTTATAATTCTTACTGTTTTTTAATAACAATTAAATTTAAAATTATTTAAAATAAATCTTATTTTTTTTATATTCGGGAATATCGAATGATGTAGTTTCTTAATGTACTCGTAAAAAATATCACAATTATTGAAATTATTTAATGGAAATGATAAAAATCTCATTATAAGAGCCACCAAATATCAAATGAAGAATATTGTTCTAAGAAACTTTTTATCTAGTCAAAAAAACTCATTTTGTTGTCTATTTTTTTCATTTATCTTGATTCAAAATTCATCTTTCATTAAAATAATTAATAAATAATAAATAATTCTTTCATGAAAAGAAGAAAAAAAAATTAATAAGAGAATAACTTCTTTATAAATCTAAAATGAAAAACATTTTATTCAATTTTACATTAAAAAGAGAAAAAGAATGATTTCGAAGTTCTGAAAAGATATATGTCTATGTATACATTTATCTATATATATATCGCTTATATAACTTATATATAAATATATATATATATATAATCTATAAATAGCTTAAAATAATTATCACAATACTTTATAATCTATTATAATTTTTATAATCTAATATAATCAATACATACATATGATAATATAATTCATTAAATAAATTCCATAAAAGAAAAAACCAATTAATTAGATTTATATGATTTGTCCTCCTATTAAATGATAAATAAGTTAGAAAATAATAGATAAATAATGATAAATAAATTTAATGATCAATTTAATTTATTATCTTTTTAAAAATCTTCATTTCAATTTTTTTAATTTTTTTTCTTTTTTGAAAAATCATATCAGAGATATACAATATCAATTATCTATTAATTGATATTGTTCGCGCATTAAAAAGATAACTTTATATATATAAAGTTTTGTTATTCAATTTTATTTAATTATTTAATAAGAAAAGTGCAGGAAGTTAATATAAAGAAAGTGTTATGTTTCGATTATATATAAAGTGAATAAAATAAAATATATAATATAGTGAATAAAATAAATTATATTTATTATTTAACATTTATATTTATATAAATGTTCTTAAACATTTTGATGCTAATACGTATGTATTATTTAATTTTATTCGAATCAACGATTATTAAAATTATGTAAACATCTTTTAATGGAAAGATATCAATTTTTATAAATGTGAAAATTATCTTTCATATAGACTGATACATAAAAATTTTATTATTATTTTTTATATTAAACATATAAACATGTAATCAAAAAAAAAGTAGTTTCAATATAATCAATCAATAAATAATCAATCAAAAAGTAGTTCGAAATAATAGTTTTGCTATTCATTAGTAATAAATATAATTTCATTAAAATTCATTAAATAACAAATATATAATGTATAATTTAATTTTATAAGAAAGAAGAAGAGAATCTCTTCTAAAAAAGAATTTGCGATACATAATTAAATTAAAATCATTCTTGAATATTTTTATATTTTTAAATTATTTTAAAAAGTGCGAACAAAATATTATGCACGAGAAAGTTTTTTTATAAGAGATTGATTTTAAGTGATACTTTGTGTTTTAATATATTTTTAGCAATCTACATTTTTTAACTTGATTTATTTATTATTTGAAAATATAAATAATATAGACATTAAATTGATTAATTATATTAATTAAGATATAAGATAGGGCCATATCGATTTTAATTGAAAATTATTTTATAGTAGTTTTATCGATTTTTTTTATTATTAACACATATCATACGCAAAATTTAAATATAAATTAACAATTGACAAATAATTATCCTTTAGTAGCTTAAAGTTTAATAAAATAATAATAGAAATAAAATAAAATAAAAAGAGATGAATTTTTAATTTAAAAAATTTTTAATTTAAAAAAGATAACAGTTTAAATTAAATTAAAAAATATTAAAAGTTTTGTGAAATATAGTAAAAGATGATACTACTATCTCAATAATATCAGATTTCTTTTTGTCTGTATTTTTATATGGGGATTTACTTTTAAAAAAATATCGAAATTTTTTATTTTAACATCCAGACTAAAATATTATAAAGTTAATATATGATATTACTATATAATTTTTTCTATTTTTTTCTATTTTTTATATTTTTTTTCATATTGTTTTATTCATTGATTAACAAATAATTTTTTAAAAATAATAATAGATAATTTATAATAATAATAGAAAATTTATATTTTATTTTCAGAAATCTTGGAATCATGAAATTATTAATTACCTTCGTGATAGTCTTAACTTTTTCGTCATTAATTATACATGGAAACATTATTTCAAATGATTACGATATATCTATGAATGCATCAGATATCTGTGCAAATAAAACTTTGATACTAAGATTTCCTTCTTTAATAACAATAGATAAATATTTTATTGCTTCTCCTGCTGTAAGATGTATTGATATAAAAGGCATTGTTATGATTAAAGAAGAAACCTTTGATAACATGCCAAATTTAAAATATCTTGATCTCCGAGAAAATAATATTTATCCAGCAAACTTTTTTTCTTTTAATCTTTCAAATGTGGAAATATTACGTTTCGGTTATCAAAAAAAAATTTCAAATTTGATAGAAGATAGAAAAATAATAATAAGAAATGTATATCCTGAACTTCGATATTTGGATTTAGAATATGCAAATATCTATACATTAAATAGTGAATTGTATAATCCATTCCCAAAATTGACACATTTATATATTTCAGGGAATATGATTCAGCAAACTTCCCTGCATAATATTTTATCTAATACATTAATGTATCTTAATTTAAGCAATAATGGAATTTCCGAATTCTCATTCGAAGGATTAAGTAATCTATTGTCGTTAATCTTAGATAATAATAAAATCAGCAGAATAGGAAACGATATTAATTTGAATGGATTGTATATGTTGGAGAATTTATCATTGGCGAACAATCAAATCAGTTTTTTCCACAATAATACATTTCAATATGTGCCCAATCTTCGATATTTAAATCTTCGTAATATTTCTTTGATTTTTAATTTCGATATATTTCAACCTTTGAAATTTTTAGAGACTCTTATATTAGATAATAATTCATTCGAAAATGTTCCGATTTCAATACCTTTATATATAACTACACTCTCGTTAAATTGTAATAAATTAAGATACCTAACAAATAGCTCTTTCATCAACGTGCCGAATTTAAGAAAATTACACATAAGCAGGAATATGATTTCAAGCATCAATGTGGACACATTTGAAACTCAAAAGCTATTGGAGGAGTTATATCTTGATGATAATTATTTAAGTTTTTTGCCAAAAAATTGGTGTGAATTTATGAAGGAGCTTCGATATTTAAATCTATCAGGGAATAAATTCATTTCTTTAGAAATGGTGATTTATAGTTCTACTTTGCCCATACAACAATTATATTTGGAACGCAATCCTATTCAATCTATTAATATGTCAAGTATATTGAAAATAGTACCAAAAACTATGACAATTTATTTAAAGATTGGTTCAGAAGTTAACGGATCATCATGCATATCTTCTATGTCAACCGAAACGAATACAAATTTATTATTAACTGAATATTAAACTTCTGAATATTCAATTCCATCATGGCAGTCATCAATTAGATGGTAATCTCGATTTTTTAATTTTGTGAAGGGCACTAATTTATATCTAATTTACATTATTACATGAGATACATACTTAGATAAATATGCAAAAAAAGTATGCTAAAAAAATCATATTAATTTAGCTTTTAAATATATATGTGCTTTGCATTTTGTATATATTTTTTGCTTAGATTAAAAAGATACGATTATTCTAGCGCAACGTGTATGTTCAATCAAATTAATGCTTTCATGGTATTCATTTACAATCAAATGAGAGATAAATAAGTATTATAGATATTCTTAGAATATATAAATGGAATTGATTCATGGTAATGTAAATAAAGTATGTTTTGTTGCAACTTATCAATCTTCATGAAAAATTATGCATATAATTTAAGAGATAGGAACTACATTTTGAGTATAAATACTTGAGCAACTGTATAGAGTACATTTTTAATCTGTTTATAACTGGTTTTTAGTTACTAATAAGATATATTTGTTAGTAATTGATCTATTAGTTTAACATGGTATGTATCAAGCAATTAATTTTTAATTCTATTTCGACTTATTGTTTTCAAGATTTATGAAATTAATAATTAAAAAATTAATAATTAAATATAAATAATAATATTAATTTACATTTTTATTTTTTTAATTATCAACACGTTTTGATATGTAATTCAAAATATATAACAATGTAATATATTCTTATCTGTTGTTATTATAACTATTTTCCATTTTTTCAGATTCAACATAAAACTGTTTTATTTATCTTGATATTGGCCATTGTAAAAAGTAAATGCAGCCCCAAAATATCTTGGGATCCAAATATTATAAAAGAAAATTTAGACAAAATAATACTTGATAAACAATCTTTTGTAACATGTTCTCAAGAGGAAATTGTAAATTTAAAAGGATTAAATTTAAATAGTATACCAACAGAATTAATTAAAAGTAAAACAATACAGGCAATTTCATTAGAAAATAATGAAATAAATATAGTTCCTAGCGATATATTTTATGAAATTCCAAATTTACAGTGTCTTGATCTAGCACGGAATAAAATTTTGCCTAATAATCTTGAAATGAAACATGATAATTTAAAAATATTAATTCTCGATTATCAAAAGAATTTAGAAAGTAATAGAAACGATGAAATCTTTTTACCAGTCAAAATAAAAGGGCGATTTCCAAATTTGAAAACGTTATCTTGGAAAAATTTCAAAAATGATATTTTAACTTCAATAATAGTATCATTTCCGAGAATAAATAATATTTATTTATCCGATTCTAATTTACAATATATAAATAATAATATAAGCACGATATTTCCGTATGCGAAAAATATCCATTTAGAAAATAATTTGATCAATCAATTAATTGGATATGATTTTAGAAATGTGGAAGAATTATATTTGGATAATAATCCTCTTTATGATCTCTCGTTCAATCCAAAATATACAAAAAATCTAAAAATTCTCTCATTATCAAATACTACAAAAAATTTTCCTAAACTCAACATTCCATCGTTAATGACATTAGATTTCTCTGAAAATAAATGTCATTTTACAGAGAAGAATATGTTTGAATATATATTATCTTTAGAAAATTTGATTTTAAGTAAAAATGAATTTGTAAAATTTCCAAATTTAACTTTTTTAAATAATCTTAAAAAATTATCATTGGCTTACAATATAATTACCAATGTAAAAGATATAAATGTAACAAAATCTTTAAAAATGTTAAGTCTACGAGGAAATCAAATATATAACATCGATAAAAAAGCGTTTTTCGAGTTTACAGAATTAGAATTTTTAGACTTATCAGAAAATAAATTACAATCATTACCGTTTGCTTGGGATAAAAACTTGTCAATGTTGAAATATCTCAACTTAGAGTCAAATTATTTTTTAAAAATAGAAGATATGATGTTGAATTCATTATTTACTTTACAAAAACTTTATATAAAAAATAATGATATCATGTCGATAGATTTAAATATATTAAAAATTATACCACAAAACTGTACCGTATATTTGCTTTGAATATTATCACATACGAGATAAATAAAATCTAAAGGATTAAATGTATTTCGATTGTCACATTTGTATGTTTAATTTCTCGCTTATCATTATTGTTAAACTGTCATTATTCATTATTATTAATTGTTATTAGATAAAAATAAAATGTTACAATTTCAGTTTACGATAATGTTTATAATATTCATTTTTCCTTTCTTATCGTGTAAAAAATTATGTTTCAAAAAATTTTTTTTATAAAGAAAATAATATTAAGAATTATTTTCATATCAAATATACGCGAACGATATCTTTTCATAAGTATAGAATTTGTTTCTAAGAATTAAAAATTTTATTTCGTTAGATAAAGATTAAAAATTATTAGCAAATAATAACAAAATAATATTGAGAAATATAATAATTTTTTGAAAACATTCAAAATGATTTTAATCGAAAAATATTTCATTTTTTATAAAGCATAAGTTCAAATTAACGTAACATTTGAAGGAAATCTTTTCGATTTATACTTCGAATATTTTCGAATGCGAATATTTTTCCTGACGAATATATTATATGTCTATGCGCATTCACACACATATATTTTTTATAATTCATGGCGAAAAAACTGTTTTTTTTATTTATTTAAAAGTGTCGTCAGAAACATTCGGATTTGATTTTCGTACGTTTGAATTTTTCACTGTGTAATTTAGTTTTATCTTGAACAGAAACAGAAGTTATCATTATGCCACAGTGTTTCTAACTTTGTAACGTGAGCGAGGAAAGATAAGTTTTGCAGAATGATATATATACCTCAGCAATTATTCGATATAGCGAAGTAGCGAACGAATAACCCTTATTCACCCTGTACATTTTCTTTTTCAATGAGAAAGAAAATATCTATATATTTGTGTACATAGAAGATCAAAAGAAAAAATAAACATGTATCATAATACGAAAAGAAATTTGCTTGGATATGTATAAATTTAATACATATTTTAAAAGGATCATTGAATTCGTTCGTTCAAATAAATGTATACTTCATTTTTTTTATAATTTTGTAAACATCCCCATGTTTACAATGTTATTTAGAAACAAATATGTCTATTAGAAAGAAAAAAATTATATTGTGCGATTAATTGGAACTGCAGGGTAATCCTCGCTAGGTTACACTCCTGAGATCATTACAGTGTTAAATTTCGCAAGGATTATCACTGTATTATAAGAAGATAGATGAAGCAGTTTGCAACAGAAGGTGTTCGATACATGTTGAAGTAAAAAACTGTGTTTCACGACGGACGAAAAGATCCCTTACGATCCTTAAAGTAAGTTTAACTTTCGTAAAATACGGAAAAGAAGAAGAAGAAGAAGAAAAAAAAGATCGATTTTATGTGATTTTATTCAATTTACATTTTCATTATATCCTTTATATCTTTTAAATTTATATTTACAGATGTTGTTCGTGAGATCGTGGCTAGTGTTACTCGGCGTGATTCTTTTTCGTTTGAAATTGGTACATGGCGGACAATATCGGTTATATAGTGACAACAATTATCCGTATGGTGACAATAATCGACTCGCATTTTCTCATACCAATGTACCACCAATAATGTCGATTGCTCCGTGTAAAAAATGTGAACCCATAATACAATACGAGGAATGTAAATCAAATTCGATACTACATTTTGAGCGTATTGGTATAAAAACAATTGGCGACTTTTTCGTTAAGAGTAAAGAAATAAAGGAGTTGTATCTCGACGACAACGAGATCACGGAAATCTCTATTAAAGCATTCGATTCGTTGACCAAATTGAATATTCTAAGCTTGAATAACAACAACATTTCCATTAATAAAATGCTATGGTTCAATCAGCACGATAATTTGCGGGATTTGATTATAAATAACAACAAGTATAATGGAACTGACACTGTTATAAATAAAATATTCCATCCATTACCGAGATTGGAACGTTTGTCCTTAAAAAACAACAGAATTTCTAATTTGAATATCTCGTTAAAAAATTTCGCACCCTCTTTGAGGTCGTTGGATCTATCGGGAAATAATATGGAATCGATCGATTTTATCATGAATTTACCGGAAACCGTCTCTTATCTGAATTTACATAATAATTCGTTCTCGAATATAAAAAAAAATTTATACAATATTGAAAATTTATTGTTAAGTAGCAATAAGATCAAGGAATTGTGCAGTATAAATTGCAAACAGCATTCCTCCTTGTCGTTAGAAGGGATGAGAAAATTGTTGAATCTGAACGTGTCCGATAACTGTATCAAGACTGTTACGGAGAACGCGTTTAGATACACGACGAATCTTGTCTCGTTGGATCTATCCAGAAACGAGATAGAATCGCTTCCAGAGAATATTTTTATAGGCTTAGAATCCCTGTTGGAACTTCGAATGAGCCACAATCGATTTATTTCCGTTCCGAATATATGCGCGTTACATTCGGTAAGAAACGTAGATTTGAGCCATAATCGAATCGTGGAAATAACCAGCGACAGCTTCTGTTTCACGACGTTCATTCAATCGCTAGATTTGTCCAATAATCATATCTTGAATATCAACAATAATTTCGATAAATTGCAAACGTTGCAGAGGCTGGATCTTTCGAACAATTTTATCAATAAACTTCCGATAATGTTGATTCAAAGGACACAATTTCTCGAAATTCTTTTGCTGAAGAATAATAGCATAACGAATATCGACGAGCTATTTACCTTGCAATTGAGAACATTACGCGAACTACATCTTGAAGAAAATCCGTTTTTGTCTTTAAGATTTAACGATTCAATGATATACGTGAAAGAAGAAAAAGAATTGAAGAATTGTGATATAGAAATTGCTGAAACGTTAAAAAAGCATGTTACAAGCATCGAAGAAGATGATTCTTTGAGCAATGAAAGCAATGAAATTTACTAATCTCAATGGTAAGATTTTGCTTTAATTTATTTTTTATTTTTTTTTTTTCATTATTTTATCTTATTTATATTAAAATATGCTTTTTCAGAACTTTTACGTCTTTTTCGTTTTTCGATGAGAAACGATCCTTCTTACCATAAATTGAAAAGTCGACCAATATTTGGAAATGAATTATTTTTGGAAAAGAAAGAAAATGCAGACATTATATTTAGTGATATATACTGCCAATAAAAAATCTAGAAGAACGCTCATCGCTATTTTTAGATTTTCATGTATTTGTAATTTTTTCAATATGCTTATATTCAACTTGCTTTTGTACAGCTTTGTTTTAATCTTTTCTTTTATTATTTTTTTTATTATTTTTGTCATTTTTATTAATACTAATTGATCATTAACACACGCGCATCGAAATAATACCAATTTTGCTACTAACAATTCAAACTATCACTAATCTTAATTTTTTTATTATGTGAAGCATAGAATGAAACAATAAAATAAAAAAAGTCATCAATATATTATCATTAATCATATATATATATATATATATATATTTATTTTATCCATTTTGTACTTAAAATTTTTATAAAATTTTTTTATATATCATTAAAGATAAAAGAAATTCAATTCAAATTAAATGACATGTTAAATATTTTTTTTATGTATGATGCATAAATTTATATTATACATTTTTTTAAATTTAATCAATTTTTATTTTAAATATTAAGTTTTAAATTTCAGTTTTTTTAATTTGGAAAATTTTTATATTAAATTAATTATAATAGTTTATTCTTATTATATTTTTAATAGACTTTGCATAGAATTTATAATAGAAATTTAAAATATATTTTATTAATTAATGTATATTTATATTGTACTTTAATTTTCGCGCGGTTGAAATAAGAAATTGCGCCGTTTCAGCCAATCAGAAAGCCACTAATAAATTAATGCGCATGGCGTCAGTTAATATTAAAACACGTGGTGACAGTGCGTATTATACCGGCAAAAGTGCATAATTATGTACAATTTTTATTGATATTGTGATATAATTGATAGTTATCAATAGCCTAATAATATAATTAGTGTTTATTTAATTATTTACTAAATAATATTTCAAAATTAAATAGTTTATTATCCTTTTTTATCATTTTACAATGCTTATTTGACAACATTTATATCATAAAATTTCTCATTTCTTGAATCAAAATTTTATTTTAATCATTACATTTAATATTTTAACATTATTTTAATCTTATATATTTATTTTGTTATTTTGATTTTTATTTATATAGATTATTCGATTATTAATTAAATTTCGAAAGTGTAATGAAATAAAATTCAATTAGATGCATGAAAATTTAGTAAGATTTCATTTGTTTTAACAATTTAAAATATTTTTACATATTTCTTTTTAAATTTGTCTATCCAAATATTCGACGTATGTTGTGTTTATGTTTCGTTCACTGTTAGCAATATTTCTTAGAATAATTCTTAGAAAATTGAAGGTTTGTGTTTATGTACGCTCAATGTCGATCGATATTTATATTCCTTCCCATATACATATAATCGAAATTGTGCCGCGATGAGTCATTACGTCGTCGAAATTCGTGCCGATTAGACGTTTCAATTCGTAGCAGGTATATAATCTATCTATTACATAGTACTTATTTCAATAATTATTCTCTCATTTTTTGCATATTACTCTTTAATTTAATATGTACATTATTTGTCTTTATTAATTTTTTATTATTATTATTATAATCGATAATTTTTCTTTATTATCTTCTATATATTTTCTATATATTTTCTTTATTTCTTTTTATTATTTTTATTAAACATATTTGATTCTTAGAATGACCGATAAATGATCCTATTATGATCATTTAAAATAAAATTTGATTTAATACAATTAGTTATTTTATATTCTTATTACATTTATTTTAAATTTGGTTTTCTTTTCTTTTTTTCTTTAATAGTTGATTGCTGAAATAATTCAAAGCGGAAAAAAAGAATATGGACGTCACATAATAACCATTCGCCATGATTAATTGACGAAGATATCTTCTGACGAAGAATTGGTAATATTTGCTTTTGTATAAAAAATAAATACATTTTTATTTTCTTTTTATTAGATTATTCTTAATTTATATAATAATTTATATTATATTAATATATAATTATTACGTTAATAATTGTGAATGTTATAAAAAGACATTAACCAAATCAAATTTTTATTTCGGATATTTTTTTTTATCTTTAAATAAACTAAATTTATTCCTTTATTATATAATTTTCAATTATAATAATTTCAAAAAAATATTTTTTTAAAGAAATGCTTGATAGAAAAAAAGAAAAAAAAAATGTTGAAAAAATATTTCTCTTTTTTTTCTATTAACTGTCATCCTTTTCTATTAATGCAGCTTTATTTTTGCAGAAAATTTTTGTAACTGCGTATAATGCGATCGGTAGAATCAGTGTTTGTTTCGTAATATCATTTTCAATATTCTTTAGAACATAATAATTTTAATTAAATTTAATCTTTCGTGAAAGTAGAGTCAGTGTTTGTTCGCTAATTATAATTTAAATAATAATATAATATGGCCGTATTTTTATTATTATTATTATTATTATATTATTATTTTTTAAATATTCGTTTTCGATAGAATAGAGTCAATTAAGGTAATAAGATATCAGACTTATCGACTGGACGAAAATGTATGAAAGTATTTTCATTTTAGATTTCTAGATGGCGACACAATTATGAATTCGCAATCGCTAGTAAGAAAGTATTTATTTAGATAAAAATATGCACATAATGCAAGACTAAAAAGTTGATTAGGCAAAGGAATTCGAATCTAATTCGTTATTTTTAATATTTTCAACATTTATATAAATAACAAATATGAATATTAGTTACGAATTTAGATTAGATATATTTTTTTTATCTCTTTTCCGTTTTGTTAATTATTTTTGCAGTATCTGCAATAAATTAATGTATTAATGTATAATAATGTTATAAGATAATTTTTCGATTTTTTATGTTACATTTGTTATATAAATTTTTGCAATAAATATATATGTTTATATATGTAGGCGTATTAATATCGAAACAGACGAGCTTAAGAGCGATATTCAATTATTAATTTAAAACGTTTGCCAGAATTTGCCAGAATTTAGAGGTTAATCTCTCTCGAATGCAAAGGATATAATTAAGAATATCCACGATAAATTATATTCATTGAAATCGTTAAAATGGGCGATTTTTTTTTTTTTTCTATATAAAAAAGAATTAAAATGATCCTTGAGCGAAAACAGCTTGTTACTCTTGAATTGATCGAAGAGGATTCTTCTAACGAGCTTGTCATCAAATTACTATCGATCTTCAAGATCGTTCGAGTATTTGAAATGCTCCCTTAACGGATAACGAGATCACTTGGATCGGAGATAGCTCGACGATACTGCAAAGAGTCTGATTTTTGTAACGAGAAGTTGAAGTATTCGTTCGATGAACGTACAACTACTAGATATTTTGTTCAGATCCTTTTGAAACGAAATGATTTGATCGCCTTAAATCACATTTCTATCATTTCTTTGTATCAAAGTCTTTCGATACGAAATTTTCCAAATTTAATTCTAAAATTTAATTCTATAATCTTAGATAAATTCGTACAAATTGCGAGAAAAAATATTTCGTTTCATATATGGAACAAAATCTCGATCGTTAAGAAATCATTGTGAAGAAATCAATTGAAGATGGTATGATAAAGTGATGGCCAATAAGATCCAATTGTATTTATCACTCGCAATCCCATGGATTTTCTCTCACGTTCTCATCGAATGTCTTTTGTCAACCATTGCGAGATACATTAGGCTACCAAAACATGTCGAGGATTTGTTAGGTGAAGGATGACGTAGACAAACGAAAAGAACGTTTTCCACTTAGGAGCCATTCGTTTGATGGGTCATCAACAACGCGCGAATCTTTCTCTTCCCTCCCTCTTCAAAATGACAAAGAAAACGAAGAAAAGAAGAAATTTGTCGATAACTGTCTTTAGTTATATATTCTTCTCCTCGTATTCTTCCTACAGCAGAAAGAGATTTCGCATTTTTATATTCTAAATATAATTCATTTAAATTACGAAACTTAAACTTCGATGATAATAAATAACAATTAACTATTATTAAAAATTATTAAATTATTATTATACATTATTTTATTCGTATTAATACTAGAATTATCGATGCGTAATAATTTAAAATTTAAATGATTACGATTGAAACGATATCGACGAACAGTTTCATCTTCTTCGCACTGTTAAAAAACAACGATTGGAAGAGATTATAGAAAAATACCACTTAAATTTTAAATTATTGAGAATAACGTAGTAACTCTTTGAATGAAAAAAAAAAAAATAAATAAATAAATAAAAACTTCTTTAATAAAAACGCGCTCAACCATGGTTAAAGAGGGACAGGATGAAGCGCGGAAAGGAAGGAAGAAAGGAAGAAAAGAAAACGGATGGTAATCGGCGTGGAAAAAGGAAGTGTTACGCGACGCGACCACCGCGTTCCATCCAGTTAGATCTGGCCTAGGTTGACCAAGCCATCCAGAGAGGCGATATGTCGGAGAGTGGGAGGTGTCCCTGCTGATCAGGAGTGTCAGTTGGGGTGGAGGAAGAGGGTGGATGGGAACGCATGCGCAGTAGTACGAGTGGCAGGGATGCTTGGCCCCTACGAGCGAGACAGAGATACGATCGAGAACGAGACCGATTCTAAACCCCTGGAAAAGGATAGCCGTGGAATAAATGGAATAGCGAGAAGAGATAGGGGAGGAAAAGGAAAAAAAAACAAAACGAAAGGAGAGAGAGAAATAAAAAAGAAGGAATAAGGATCCAAAGGATATGGTGCGAGATACGATGGAGACGAATCGAATGCGTCGATTCGCGAAAGTTGGAGAGAGAAGGGTCGAGTATAGGGTATAGTAAAAATGAAGAAGAGAGGGAGAGAGAGAGAGAGAGAGAGAGAGAGTTAGCGGCGCGCAGCGATAGCTAGAACAGGATGAAGAGCGGCCGAGGTCTGCCTCGTCTAGGCAGCTCCGAGAGTCTACTCCCACCTACCTCTCCTCTTCCTTGCTCGCTTTCTCTCTCTCCTCTTTCAGTGTTCGTTCGAACACGGCCCGGTACGGTTCTGTCGCCCCGTGCTCGAAGGATTCTCTTCGTGATGGGAGCTCGCTGCCGCGGTGGTATCGGCAGGTTCCCTCGGTAGCCGATTCCCCGACCCATCCATGTCGCACGTCCCGTCAGGGTGACACGCGCGATTCTCGCTCGCGGTCCGTACAATCGACACACGTATATATATATATATATACATACACATACACACATATACACACGTATATATACGTATACAATTCGGAGATAAACATCCGGGAGAAGATAAAGAAGGGGGGGGACTTGGAAACGCGGAAACGGAGGAAGAGGGTGAAAAGTGCGTGTCGTGGAGAGAGAAAGAGTGCGGTATCGGGAAGGGGGAGATAAAAGTGTAAGAGTAACCGTGAAGAAAACGTGAAGCTGCGAATTCCTCTTATTCTCGTCGATATTCTTATCGATGGGAAACGAACGGTGGTGAGAAGACCGCACGAAGGAAGGAAGACGCGGGTTCGTACGACGACGTTTGTCGTGCCGTTTGGTTTGAAAGAGTTTAAAAAAAGGAAAAAAAGAAAAAGAAAGAAAATAAAAAAAGGAAGATTCGTATAAATTCGATCAAACGCGTCGATTTCTTGGAGGAAATGGGGGAATCGAGATCGTAGGTTTCGCCAAGATATTCGATCCTTGTTTGGAATCTCTGATCGTTGTTGGAAATAATAGGGAGACAATTGGATCTTGCCACGTTGAATCGAGGCTGGTGGAAAAAACGAGTACGAAACGAGTTACGCGCGCGAGACGTGAAATCGGAGGAAAGATGCCGGGAAATTATTCGACTCGTTGCGAGCCAGGTCTGGTGGTGCCGATATGGAGGCCGCAGGAGAATCTCAATCTTTCGGACATAATCTTCCGCGGCTTCGTCTATTTCTCCCTGTTGTTGTACCTGTTCATCGGCGTGTCGATCGTCAGCGATCGTTTCATGGCGGCGATCGAGGTGATCACCTCGAAGGAGAAGGAATTGGTCGTTCGCCGGCAGGGCAAAGAGCCTCAGATCGTTGTGGTGCGAGTATGGAACGAGACGGTTGCGAACTTGACGTTAATGGCGCTGGGCAGTAGCGCGCCCGAGATCCTTTTGTCGATCATCGAGATCTGGGCGAAGAACTTCGAGGCCGGTGAATTGGGCCCGGGCACGATCGTTGGCTCGGCCGCGTACAACCTCTTCGTCATCATCTCGCTGTGCGTGTTCGTGATACCGAACGGCGAGACGAGGAAGATCAAACATTTGAGAGTTTTCTTCGTCACCGCCACGTGGAGCATCTTCGCTTACGTTTGGCTCTACTTGATCCTTGCGGTCTCGAGCCCCGGCGTGCTCGAAGTTTGGGAGGGTATACTCACATTCTCCTTCTTCCCGGCAACCGTGCTCACGGCCTACGTGGCCGACCGTCGCCTCCTCATCTACAAGTATCTGCACAAGGGTTACAGGATGAACAAGAGGGGTGTGATCGTGCAGGCCGAGGCAGGCGACTCGGACGGCGGGGTGGAGCTTGAGATCAAGCCGCAGCAGGACAGTTTTCACAACATGACGGACGCGGACACGCCCGAGGCGAAGGAATTCGAGCAGACGAGGAGAGACTACATCAACACGTTGAGAGAGTTGAGGAAGAAGTATCCTACTTTGCCGTTGGAACAATTGGAGGTGATGGCCCACGAGGAGGTGCTCGGCAAAGGGCCGAAGAGCAGAGCGTTCTACAGGGTGCAAGCGACGAGGAAGATGGTCGGTGCGGGGAATCTGAGCAAGAAGATCAGCGAAAGGGCCCAGAGCGACTTGAGCGAGGTGAAGGCCGAGCTTCAGAAGCAGGAAGCCGAGAGCGTCGAGGTCGAGAACGTGAACGCGATGAGAATCTTCTTCGAGCCTGGCCACTATACCGTGATGGAGAACGTTGGTAGTTTCGAGGTGGGAGTGACCAGAGCCGGTGGCGACCTGAGCAAACCGTGCACCGTCGATTATTGCACCGAGGATGGCTCCGCCGAGGCTGGTTCCGATTACATTAGCGCCAAGGGCACCCTCACCTTCGATTCGGGCGAGACTAAGAAGACCATCAAGCTGTCCGTCATCGATGACGAGTTGTTCGAAGAGGACGAGCATTTCTACGTTAGGTCAGACTATTCGGATCCCTTTTTCCCGCTCAATTTCCTTTCTCTTTCCGATCGATTATTCGCCCTCGAGTTCTTCTCGACTTTCGTCTTCGACGTTTACGAGCCTCGTTTACGTGGAAAAGGGAAGCGTTAGTTTGACATCGTTCGAGATTGTTTCGTTTTAAAACTCATAATTGGAAATCGCGTAAAAAGTTTACAATCAAATATCCACGATATCATATGTTTGGCAAACGCCAACATCTCGTCGGCAATAAATGGTTTTGAGTTTCGTGAACTTGGCACACGCGACTTTCTATTCGCTCGGGCGTTCCTCGATGGCAAATAGCCTACTGGCCTCGCTCCATCTGCAAAATAATTCCCCTCCCCCCCCCCTCCCCCCAACATTCTGAAAATAAAATCTGTCACGTTTGCTCGTTCAACGACCGATTTTCATTAATTCTCGATATTCCATCGACGTTAAACTGTTGCCGATTAATCCACGAAATCGAATAAAAAAATCGATCTTTGAACGTGTACTCTCGTTTCTCGACTCGACCATGATAATTCTGACGCGTTAGAAAAAGAAAAAAAAAAGAAAGGGAAAAAAAGGGAGGGATAATTCATATTCCGGAAAAAGATATTCAAGGGAAAGGATCAAGGACGCATGGGGGATCGGATTGCAGAGTTGCATGTACCCCCTAGTTTTATTGCCACGGTCAATAACGGCGCGGAAACTCGAACGAGCGCCTCTCTGGCGCACGTTAGTCATCCATTAAAGCCAGAGACGCAATCAACGATTCGAAATTGCACCAAGCTTTCGAGAGACATTCTCTCTCTCTCTCTCTCTCCCCCCCCCCCCTCTTTCTTGAGAGAGAAAGAGAGAGACGACTGAACGAATGGAAAGATCTGATTCTAATGGAGTTAGTTCCATACGTCTGATTCTACTTTTGTGGATATATAATAAAACGTGGTCACGAGTCGAACTTTGTCGTACGTCTTAACACTTGTAATATTGAGATTGCACTTCTCTTTCATCGTTCACCTTTGTGAATCAACGAAGAAATATTAGCTCGAAATTTCAAAGATACGTGTAATACGTCGGTCGGGGATGAAACGTGTGCTCGTGAAAGGGTGAAACCGTTTCGTTGGTCGATGTAATACAACGGCGAATTGTCTTGAACCACGCTGAATGCGTTCATTCGGGAGATAGGAATGGGGGAATCAAAGGAAGGGAACAATGGGTACCGGGAGGTATTTCTGTCAAATACGTTGGACCTTGAAAAATCGTTGTGGCGGGGAAAAACGAGGCGGAGAAATATTACAAAATGTTTCGTTGTTTCGCGATATTGAATCGAAACCTTGGAAAATCGTTTCCTTTTTTTTTTTTTTTTTTTTTTTTCATCCTCCTGATGAAACTAGGTCGAGGTCGAGGAACAATATCCAACCGGAATATAGATAAATAAAAAAAAAAAAAAGAAATCGTGGTTGATTGTGGTGCATTGTTCCGAAGAATAACGAGCGTTCAAATTGATCTAACATCTGTGTTTTCTCTGTTACAAGAGGATCTTGTCGAGGACATCTGTTTAATATTCTATCGATCGATTCGATGAAAGATGTCGATACTTGGGTATAAATTTGCATAAGAAATACTTTTTGTGTTTATCCAACGTTATCTATGCATCCGTGTAAAAATTGGAGAAACATTTAAATTTGTTGTCCCTCTAAAATCACGTTATATCGCAACTGAATGAAAATACAGACTCATCCTTTGATTTTAACGCGAAATATTTCGAAAGACGCGTATTTCTCAATCATCTTTTTCGCGCACGATGACAACAGCGTTCGAAAATATTCGAATTCGTTGCACGAGGTGTACTTTTCTCCTCGTACTTTTTTTCATCGAATCGTGACTGGACTCGATTAGCATTCGAGAGCAATCGAAGAGCAACCCAGTTCTCCTTTGGAAAACAGGAAGCGGATTCGATACACCAAGACGCTAATTCGAGGGCGTCTGTTCTGGCCGTCGACTAGCTAGCCACGATAACAAATTGATAACGATTGACAAATCGTCGGGGAAGTGCATCTTTCAATTAACTTCGGGCCGGATGGCGTGCGCAATTTCATTATCGTTTAAATTAGAGCGTACAAAGGGTACAGGTTACTTGCTCGCGGCTTCGTTTGAGACTGATGCGTGTCTATTACCATCGTTTTGTCGTGACAATATATCGTGACAAATTTGTATTGAATTGGCTCGAAAAATCTTGGAATCGTCTCGGTTATTTTAATTGCAAAGATTGCGTTCGTACGAAGGATGTTCCTCACCTGTTCGACATCTTTATTTTTTCTCGTGCATCCCGAACCCATCCTATCGTTTATCCGATCGAACGAGATTATTATAAATATTGTATCTTTTCATTTTTTTCATATCGATCATCGAAACATCGGTATCCATTCTCGAACTCGTAATAATCGAATTCGAGATTGTCATCGAGATTTTCACATTTTCTGAAAAATCTTTAAAAGTTTGTTTGAATTTTATCTTATCCGATGATTTCTCTCGTTTTAAGATCTGAGAAATGGAAATGAGATCGTGCTTAAGTTTCTTTCTCGAACTTTTTAATTGAGCAGTTTTTTGATTATCCAGTTGGTAATTTTTCCATTTAAAGTCTCGTGAATTCTTTCTTAGCGAAAGTAAGTGTTTCGTGAAATTTTATTCTCACCGTTTCGAAATATTCAACCGTTGTTAAAGGAACCTCAAAGCAGTCTTGAAGTATTGAAATTATCTTTTAAAAAGAGATACGTCAATTTTCAAGAAAGTCTTTCCACAATAATTAATTTTTTTTCTTTTTAACTACGCAATACAATCTGTCGATCTCGCGAGTTTTCTCGCGAGTGAAACGACGAGTCACGGCATAAATTTATTTTCTTATCTCGCGGTGAAAAGAGATGGAAAGGTTTCGATAACGAGGAAACAATGTCGCCTTTTTTTTCTTTCGATCGTTAGAACGAAGGTCCAGGTCGAGGAGAGAACGATTAAAAAGCAGGAAAGAACGAAAGATTTCCTTCCTATCTATCGTTTAAATACGCTCTCTGTGTGCGTATTCACTACGTGTCGAGAAAGAGGGAAAAGTGAAATTTTTTTTTGTTTCGAATTTTTCAATCGTATTCCCATCTTCGCCGATGAAGCGAAGAAACGCAACTGAAGCAATGAGGGCGGGACTTGTTTCGAGTCACTTTCAATTATGCTTGTCTGACCGACTTAATCCAAACTTTAGACTGGGAAGGAAAGCAATTAGGTTAGATGGGCTGGTTTGATCGGCGGAAGTATTCCATTGCGTTGCGGTTATGACACAGAGTGCACGCTCGTCGCTATGACAAATGCGCGGAGAAACATTTTCTCTTAACAATAAATTTACTGTCATCGGTCAATCGATCTTTATTCTCGACAGAGTACGAATTTTTATTGAAAAATGTGCTAAATTCTAAATTATATACCTATATACTTTGTGTCGCAACAATTCGTGTAAAGTGACAAACTTTGATTTTATAAAAAATGTGAAAAAAATTACTTTGTTTCACTAATCTATTCACTATCTATCGGAAAAACTTTTCATTCGAAAGCCAATCGTATAACCGAAAAAAAATTATATACGAAAAAAAAAAAAAANAAAAAAAAAAAAAGAAATGATAAAATTGTTCAATACCAATTAACTCTAAAACGCAAGGATATTTGATATTTGCCTCATCGTAAAACACGTACGAAATATCATTTTATTCGCTGTTATATTAATGTAGAGATTAAATTAATAACATCGAATTTATTACAGATTAAGCAACGCGTCCCAGCCAGCCATGCTAGTTTCACCTAGTTTAGCGACCGTGATGATTCTCGACGACGATCACAGCGGCGTGTTCGGATTCCCCGAAAGGGATATGGAGCTCGTGGAAAGCGTTGGCCAGTATCCTTTGCGAGTGATGAGATACAGTGGGGCAAGGGGGCGCGTGGTCGTCCCTTATCGCACCATCGAGGGTACCGCTAAGCCTGGAAAGCAATACATGCATACCGAGAGCTCCCTCACGTTCGAGGACAATCAGACCGAGTAAGTGCAATTAATATAATCGTAACTTTTTTCTTTCTTTTCTTTTAAGAATTTAAACAATTTAGCAAACTTCGTTTGCGTTTGTCGCATACGATCGCAAATTCGTCAGAGGAGAGGGATCAAAGTGAAATTCTTACGGTTTATATTTATAGGTAATTAATCGATCGATTAATCACGCATCTAGCTCGAGGGTGAAGAACGTGACTCGAAGTTTAGGGGATGAATTTCGAATTTGTGTCCCCCTCCCCCCTCGTGGACACGGAGGGAGATTTATCGGCGACCTTAATTGGTTTCTCAACGGGCGTAGTAGCGGGCCGTTCCGTAAAGAGCTTTGGATTAGGTAATTCGGTGGGGGGCGATAGGCCATTGCCAGTTATTAAGCTGCGTTTTTTTTTTTTTTTTTTTACCAGGACGAGCGTGGCATTCCATTTTTGGAACGACGAACGGGTGGAAAGATAGGGAAAGCGTGGAAATTTATTCTTGGCCTTAATCGAATTTTCTAGCGTGATGGAGCAGTCGGGGAGGGGTTTTTATCGAGCGATCTTTTTATCACGCGATTCCAATTTAAAATTATTCGATGCTTATATCCGTGTTCGAGCTTGTTGCTTATTATTTGTCGTGTTGACCGATCGGAAAATTTCACCTCGCTTCCTGACGTTTCACCTCTCGTGATGTTTCACGAGCCGCGATGCTTTGAATACACGAATGAAAGTTGACGAGAGCAAGTTGCGACGGAGGCGATTAAATCGAAAGTTAAGTTTTTGAAACGTTGTAGAAAAGTTATTAAGAAATTAAAGAAACGGTTATAAAATAGTTCTTGGAACCGTGTATATCGTATATATTCTCCGGAAAATTCTTTCTTCCGTCGCGTTACTTTTTTGCATCGGTGCAACGAATACGATTGTAACAATAATCGAGGAGGAAACAACGATTCGAAGGATGATCGATAATCGTGCACTGTACGATGGGAGGTAACAATAAGCCTATAGAATTGAGTAACGGCTCGAATATTATGCATCGAGTCGCGGATTAATGGAATTTAAAGCTGGTTGGCCGGCTCGATCGAATAAATTAAACCGAAGCTCGATGAGCTGAGGTATAAACCCGGGGCGGCGATGTATAATATCAAGGAGCGGCTGTTTCGTCGCGTTCGAATCGATTGTTATCGTATTCTGGTTCGTCGATTATCAATCGTCGGACGAATAATTGGAGCGTGGAAGGGAGCTCGAGGGCACCGAGGGCTCGTTATTGCATTTTAAAAAGGCCGATTTACCACGCGAGCCTCGCATTCGAATAATTCCAAGTAAGAAATTCTTGTGGGAAATATATTGCGAATTATTTTATTTGTTTTCGATTGCAACTCCAGTGTTAATCGCGACAATGAATGAATGAAAAATATTGGTTATTTACATTATTTAGACAAATTATCGTTGAGTCTGATCTGCGACGTCCTTGTTTTACTTAGACATTTTCCTTAATCCTTTCGAAACAAATTTTTCTTTTTTTTTTTTTTTCTATGCGATATCATACAAAAGAAATATAGAATAGTAGCTTGAATCTGATTTTCAGAGTAGATCTCGTTTCTAATTCTACGTTCCAATAGCCTATTTCGAGTAATCCCCCAGAAAAATCCACCAATTCTTGGAAAGTTTTTCCTAAATTCACAGGAGCACTTTACAAAAACTTTTTAAATTTATTTCGAATACTTTTAGGAACAAGTACTTTTAGGAGAATAATAGTTTGGAAAAGCGCGATTCGCGAAGTTCACGTTCGAAGGAAGGATTCTTGGGAAGGATATTTTACAAACGAGTTCGATTCAACGTCACTTTTGTCGATCAATAATCGATGAAATATATTTTTGTAAGCATCGATCAAGCCCTAATACACTTCGAGCCTGACTTACGACCCTCCTCCCCCCTCATTCTACTTTTAACTCCAATTCTCAAAACTTCCTAAATTTACTTCGAGGATTGAGAATTACTCGCAGAAAACAATACCCATCATACAAGATCGAGAAAAATGCTGCCGTAAAATTTACCGAGAAGCTGGAAAATTCGACTTGGTTTATTCGAGGCTCGATCGCCAATCAGCTTAACGAACGCCGTCCTTTCCGGCAAAACGAATCTAGGAGGAAATTAGAGAGGGAAAACACGAAGAAATCGAGGCCAGTAGGCAACGGTAATAAGGGATCGGTTTTAGCTGAATCGTGGTCACGCGCGACCCCATCTCACTTTTTACGACCCCATTAATTCCCTTGCGTTCTTTCGATCGCTGTTCTCCTTTCCGCCGCCCCTTTCCACGCCAAGATTCGAGAGTCACGATAGAAACCACCACCAACTGGCCGTCTATGGGTGAATTACTTTTAGCCAAGAACTACACCCGGCATTACTTATCCTGCCGGAAGAAGGTGGCTTTTCTACTTCTCGAGAGAAACGAATCGTTTCCGGCTTGTGTGACGATGTAAGTAGCGCGAGGTCAATTGGCCGCTCCTCTCCGATTGTTGTAGGCTTCGTAGAATTTTTCATTAAATTTAACATCGAGTATCAAAAATTATCGATATTATACGTTGATGCACTTTTTTCCAATTCCAATCTAATTTTTCGGAACTCGTTAACGATTCTGAAAACTTTGTTTAACTCGATAGGATATCAAATTAGTCGATCATCAAAGAAGATCGAGTCTCGAACATTCGAAGAAATTTAAATTTAATTTTAATTTTTGTCAAACGATATTGGACTCTGTATTCAAGAGGAGGAGTTCCTTTCAGTAGGAATGATCACTTCCGACCGTATATCTTTCGTAAAATCATTCGAGGATAATTGGAAATATCACAATATACAGGCAACACGTATAAACACTCGATGTTAAATCTTATCGTTAAAAATTATTACAAGGATAATTCAAAATATCACAACTATTTGAATATTCAACGTTGCGAAAACAGATGCAAAGACAGGAATCTTGCTTAAAACAGAGGTACAAGTTTCTTTTCTCATTTAACAGCGAGCGAGCTTGGCCGATTTTCGCCGGATCCTCGACGATTGCGATCTCGATGTACAATACCCAGTCCGCACGAAAGAGCACGAGGAACGAGAAGGCGGTATTTACGAAATATCCGGAGAATTTCACGGGTCCAGAATAAACCGTGGGGAAGGGAGAAAGGGGAGAAAGAGAAGTGGAAGCGAATGACGCAGAGATTCGTTTCATTTTCGCGCGTTTTCTCGCAGTTTTTCGAGAGTTTGGCGCGATGAAACGCGAAACTCGTCATCGTGACGACGCGCTTGTCTCGCCCGCCGCTAGATAGAATTTTCTCGTTCGAGACAAATGACTTTCGTTTCTTCCTCGCCCGAAGAACGCGGTGAAAAGTCGAGGAAGAAGCAGAATAGAATGGCGGAGGGTTTCTTATTCTCGATACACGATATCGTGTTCGCTCGTTTTCTCCCTTTTTTTTCCTATCTTCTCTCGCTCTCACTCGAGACGTTGTTTGGGTTGACGGAAAAGTTTCTTCCTCGCGTTATCGCGACTCGTCTCAAATGATAACTAATTCGTCAAGTATATTGTAACAGAAGAATTCGAAGGATTTATAAGAAAAACTGATTGATCTTGATTTCAATCGTCATTTTGTTAAAGAAAATTTAAATTTATTTTATAGATTTATATAGGGAAAATTTCTGTAAAAATCTTTCGAAATAACTGAAACAATCCCTCGGAATCCCCGAGGAATCGAAATCGTGCAATCTCGAATTTTGCGAAATTTCTTTTTAAATGGATCGAAAGAAAATACGACAATGATAATTCGATGTTGACGTTCTTACGGTATTTATAGAGTGGATAAACGACGATAATATTGATAATACAAGAAAGGGGGGAGAAACGAAGGGAAAGGGGGAGCATGGAAAGCCATTGAACAAATAAAAAAAAAAAAAAAGCGCGAGTCTGTAAGTGGACTAATAGAGGGGCGGGAAGCCCGTAAAATGCGGCATGTTACATCCCTGCGCGCCCTTCGTTCCCCTGGCAAGCCTGTTAACTTCTCAAGTGCTAAACACCCTCGTATCTCGGCTGCTTCCAATCTTTTTCCACGTAAAAACATACTCCTGTCTCGAGAAAAATCGAGGCGATTTTTTTCTCGAGACGGAAAGAAAAAAGAAAATTTCTCTATTTTTCTTTTCCTTTCCTTTTCTTTTCTTTTCTTTTCTTTTCTCCCCGAAGGAAATTATCTTCGTTATTTGTACAAACGCAATACTAGAATTCTAAAAAATTAATAAATGAAATATTGTATATCGTATCGAAGAGTACGTACGTTTCATGGTCACGTACGTACTCTTCCCCCTTCAATCGAGTTTACGAGCGTGAAGCCACAAGCACCGATGTTATATTATCCCGATGAAAGCACGAGCCTTTAAAAGCACGTCTATATCTTTTACGGGATAGAGAATCTGTCGATAAGTTTGCATCTTTCAAACTGATAGATCTAGTCGGTTCCTCGAATAATACTCGAACAATTCGACGTTAATGGAAATTATATCGTCAACTCTTCCTCTCTTCCTTTTTTTTTTTTTTTTCAATACACATATCGATATCGATTATATTCCCGCAATTTTCAATTTCAAACTCGTATCCTCGTTTCAGATTCGAAATTCGAAATTTTATTCGCGATTCATTCCAAATAAATCAATACAGAGAGGAGAGTCGATTCTTGCTTCTAGGAAAGTTTAGATCGAAGGTAATTCGAAAAAAGCACGATGAATTTCTTCTCGGTCTCGAAATATCGCGGCGCGCGATTTTTCAAACGGAAACTTGCCGCTTGCTATCGCGTTACACAGGGAGGAGGCCATCCCTGAAACTTTGATCCATTTAATCCATTTTCGATTTTTATCCGTCGAGCGTGCGGAAAGAGAGTAGACGGGGGAGGGGAGAAAAAAAACGCAATTACTCGACCGTTCAAATATTTACCGAACGACGAAACTGGGAAGGATTCCGCGTCAAATCGAACGAACGTG